AGATAAAAACCATCGCTCCTAAGAATATCTATGTAGGTCGCAGTGCTACAGGTGCTACAGACAATAGCCCAAACAACCCTATAAAAAAAATACCCCGCCATAGCCGCTAGAGCAAACGGGTGTACTATTCCTTAATCAGTAGTTCCTGAGTAAGTACAGCGTTAGGTACGGTACAGAGGACTTGATATGACTATAAAGATCTAATAACAAGAAACTTTTGTAACTTCAAAGAAAAGAGTATCAATTTTTGAAATTCTAATTTCACTTCACGTATAATATATTCCTTACTACCTATTACTTAATTTCATTTATATTTTTAATGTAAATATGTTGTATACATGTTGCTCATAGTGGTTTGAAATACACGTGTAGTGCAATTCATAAGCAATGGCTACCATTTACCGTCAGTGAGCTTATTTAAAATTACAATTATATACAAAAATGTATGCTCAACACTAAGCCTACGGGGTGCAAATTACTTTCTTAATGAATAATGTAACATATATACATAATTATGTGGTTTTTCCCTTCATGGCCAAAGGTCATCGAAGAAAGGAAATAAAAAATAAAGCATTTAAATGACCTCTAAACTAAGATCTATGGTAATGAGCTCGAAACCAGTGTAAACTGGTTCTTCAGTGAAATATTACCAATAGTTTTTTTTGCATATAGAATTTTTGAAATGAGTTGGTGAAATTTTATTGGAACCATCCGATGTGATAGAAAGGGAAAATATATAATCAGACAGTGTCACGATTACCAAATTTAGAAAAAGAAAGTTACAAATTTTATTAGTAATATTGGTGTTCTGAGATTTTTAAGCTCCTCTGCTCCTAGCTATATGGATATCATTTAAGACTATCATTTCAATACAGACTACACCTAAATCATTTTTTTGCCTCCATTTAAGTAAATTTGAAGGTTCCTAGTCCTGTTGAAAATATGGGTTAAAATATATAATAGCTAAGAATTAAAGTACAAACGATAATCCTCATGAATACAAAAGTTTATACCGTGCGAGTAACAAACCTGCGATAGAGGTCGTCAGGGTGAATAAAAATATAGCATCCTCAAAATTATTTCTAACACATTTCTCGCTGCACTGTTATAAGGGCAGAGGAAGGCCGAATTTTTTTTTTATATGGGTGGTAATGGAATGGGCACCAGTGGAGGATGATGGTTTCCAGGGGGAACCGCGTGGAGGTCAACCTGACATGGTACACTACTAGTAATGGGGTCATGAGTCCACATTACTAATAATCCCCTTCCCCCCGGAAGGCCGAAATAGAGATGGTGTAAATAATGAGATGAAAGCGAACAGGGATGAATAGAAGAGAAAAACATATTACGCCGACCCCAAATAAATGGGATAAGGAAAAAGCAGATGATGGCATTTCTCGCTGTATAAAATAAGCATGACATTGTGTTTTCAATTAGAACTGTATACAAAACGTAAAGTGTTAAAGTATGTAGTATGTTAGTTTATTAGATTGAAATTGAATGGGTTGTTTTATATAATCTGCTACCACTCTGTAGGTCAAGTGTAAGCATAAATAATTTTGATTAATTCATTTCAGCGATTCCGTTGTATAATACGTTGAATTCTCGCATTAATTTATCTTTTTTGGTTTTATAACATGATTTTTGAGTCATCAACTTAATAAAGAAGATACAAAGAATCAATCACATTTGTAGTTTAGGAATTTCGTATAATGTTACAATAAGTATTCTTAAATTTTGTATCAGAAGAAAAGTGAAAAGTTGTATAAAAAATTTTAACAAGATTTTACCACATTACGAGGCACTTTCCAAAATTTTTTGTTGTACTTGCGAGTAATATAATGTAATTTTGTGTAAATTACTTATTTAAGATATAAAATTAACAAGTAGCAATACGTTGAAAATCTTATATTTAAAATTTTCGTGTTCATCGCCATACTACTTCGAAACAGCTTGATCGATTTTGATGATTTTTTATGAACTCAGTAGGTCGGATGGGTTGTTGTTATTAATTTTTATTGCAGTAACTGATAAAAGTGGCCCACCCCAAAAAAATATGATATTGCAGTAAAAATACACAACTAAATTTTTATCCTTCTACCATCAATCCCTATTTTACACAGGTACACATATAACAAAAGAAACTATATTCAATCTTTTACAATTAAAAATTCTAGTTATCCAAGTTATTTATTTCACTGTATGAGTAAGCAGTTACGAACAGGAATAATTGACATATAAAATTGTGGTAATTTGAGAACATAAATATATTTATTTCAATGTATTATATTATATATATTCCACATATACTTTCTGTATAATGTTGAAATTCTATGATAGTTTTAGTCTCATTGATAGTTTTTATGGGCGATTGAATTAATGGATATGCGTGATATTAATCAAATAATTGATAGAAAATGGTAAGTACTTATAATGAAGGCAATAAAGAGAATAAAAAATATGACAATTCTAAAAACTGTATTTTTTTTATTCGTAATATTTCCTAATAAAACACTAATAGGAAAATTGCGTTCACAATTTCACTTTTATTTCTTGCCAATACAATTGAAACAATATGCGAACTTCATATAATTCTATTCATTTCTAATTGTATTGTAATATTTTTTAACCGATCAGCCAGTTTTCTTAGTATCTAAAGTAAATAAAAGTAAAACTGAGTGTGAACATCTAACTAAAGTTTCTCCTATCAATGAAAGTGATAATAACACTACGAGACTGTGCAGTACAATAGGTACATTAAATCGCTTCACAAGTAGTCTAGAACTTTTCTCCAATTATGGCATAGCATTAGCAATTGAACAAAGATATGGTGACTTAAAAACCGTTCAATCATCATTATATTAATACATGAAGCAAAAAATTTGTACCCCTTTTTTATAAAAATTGTGCGGACTGAGGAGTATAATATTTTGTACACTTATAGTTTATATAGAGAAAGAGTGCAGACTGTTTGTTATGAAAAAATAAAAAAAAATGTAAAAAAAGCATTACACATACAACCATATATTTATTGAACACATTTACGCATAAAAAGTATAGTCTTTGACTTTTGTTTGTTTTGTTTGTTTTTTAATTAATTATGTGCGAATTTCAACCATTGGACGATTGTATATTTAAATCTAAATAGTTCTTAAGAAACCTATGTTAATCTAAATGTTAACGTGAATATGTCTGTATTAGCGTTTGTTACATTTCCCAAAGATAAAGATAGATTTCATTCCAAAATAAATATGTAAAAGCGGTTAAAATAGAGAATTAATGTTTGTACAGAAGAAGCTACAGAAGAAGCGACGGGTAACTTCTTCTTATAATTCCAATAATGTGTCTATTGTTACCTTTTCACTATTGAACGACTGAATGGATCTTAATGAAACTGGAAGTGTTTATCTATCTATCACAAGGATGGAGATTAAAAAAAGAATCACAAAAGCATATGTGATCGTGGTCACTGCTACTGTAGTAATAGATCGAAATCTGAATATAATTAAATAGAAATAATGTTTGATGTAATACATTAAATTTTAATCAACCTTTGAATGATTATAATTTTAGAATACTACTGTTCAATTAAAAAACATATTTAAACACGAAGAATTAGCAAGAAATGAAAATTATTACTCTTTTCAATGAAATAAAAGCAAATATGTGATTTTGTGTAAATTACAGACTATATTGACAAAAAATGTAAAAAAATACTATTATGTTGTATGTGTAAACATACATCATGCATGCATACATCATAATTAAATAACAACATAAATCGTACGTTGTGACCAGATCAATCTTATTATTGAAGCATTCATATATATGGCCCGTTTAGGTGACTGATTATGGACATCTCAAGTTGACTATGATTAATGTATTTCTTAACAGTAGCAATGCTATAAAGAGAAGCATAATGTATATTGGTATTCATAGAAAACATGGCTACTTTTTTTTTATTGTACGCATTGCCCATGAAAACATACAATAACAATAGTTAGTTAACGGTTTATACATTCGCAAGTATAATAATAATTTCAGGTTGCGACTCCCTTCGTAGTATAGGTGACTATGCAAGTTACAATAATTATACGCGTCGCTTATAAAGAAATGCAACTTCAATCGTTAACGATTTATGCATTTGCTAGTAAAAGTCCCAGTCGCAAATACTTAAACAATTTAACTAGAAAGTTCAGATACACAATACGTGCCTATAATATTTGAGAATTTCTCTCAATTATCCTGGGATAACATTATTAGATCCTGATTTGGTGATAAACAATGAAATAATTTAAAAAAATTCACAGTTGACGAATGTCGAGATATCGATAAATATACGTAAGCAATCGAATACAGAGATTTATTTTAGAAATCAGCTAAAAATCAGTTTTTGTGTATTATTAATATATGTATATAAGAATGTATTGTAATAATTTGAAATGATACCTGTGTATATGAAAACTAAAGTCAAGTTTACACAAATATAGAAACTTATAACATGCGACAGAAAGTTTGTTTTGGGGTCGTGATTCCATACGTTACCGGTTTTGCCGTGGCCTCGAAATTGAGAGAATTAAAAAAATAGCTACATATAAAATTAGGAGGTGTTTATGCGAGAGTGCGATATGAATTGGATATATTATATATTTATATAAAATAATTTTATACTTTTTTTTTTATGTCACGATAAGTACAATATTTCATAGTAAAATCTTGACTGGCCGTCCGCGACCTAGCAACGGTTATGCGAGATCTTTTCACTTATATAGTTTGTTTAACAAAAATCAAACAATCGCACTTTTTCTTTCATTTCATTTGCACTAACATCACAAACGTCGTAAAGTGCGTATTTGGATGTCGTAAACGCAAACTTCGCTTTCTACCAACAAATATTTATTTTTCTACTTATCCTTACGTACTAGCTGAAGGTACGTCAGTTAACATACAACGTCAAACGAGGTACACGTGTTACGTCACTGTACTAAAATAGTGGGGGGTGGCAGGATAAAATCCAAGAGGTTTTTCAAAAAACATCATTACTCTGTCAGACTCTGCTCGTGAGGTCACCTACCAAAGAAAACATGTGGAAGGGTATAGTCTTAATTGCCTTAGTGGCATCAGTGAAGTGCAATCCGGTAAAAGAAAATGGTATCGCTGAAAATTTCGTGGGTGCAGTCTCTGAGTGTATTGATAGAGATACATCATTGTGTTTGAAGGTGAATAGTGAATTTAGTGCTAAATGTGAAGTGATGCATTGTATTGGATTCGAAAGCTTTGGACGTCGTGTCCTTTGTTTGTCATGGCTGTAGTTAAATTCAAAACAGATGTGACTTTTACTATTCAATTATGGAGCGAAATCTGTTGTTGAAGTCAAAATAATCTCCTTAAAAAAATCGAATCATTTGTAATGGAAATATTGACCACACTCATACCATAAATATTGTCATATTGACGTTTTTCTTAATTTAATATCCTTATAACTATTTCTATTTATCATATGTAATTTATCGCAAATTAAATAAATTTTCCTGTTTAATTTCAGGAAAAAGCGCTCAAATTTGCCGAGCGATTAGCTATCACAAAAGATGTTAACCTCTTTGAAGGTATTAGCCTCATCAATACTGGATCAGCACGGTCTGCACGCAGCTACGAACCTTTAGCTGAGGATCCGAAGACCAGGGAATTTCAGCTGGAAGAGCGGATTGCCAATAATGTTGGGGATTTCTTTGACAGTCACGTACTGCAGTTACGACTGACTGAGCCTGATAATGAATCTAGGGATTTGGATGATGAAGGTAAATAACAATATACATCTCTACGTTATGACAATTAAAAAAATATTATTCCTTTTAACCAAAGCTTCAGAATATTATTACGTAAAATATAAACATAAAAAATATATAATATTACATAATTGCTATTGTAATTACTTATAAGTATTGCGTACTTATTTAAATAATATTTGTTGATGAATTTAAATATTATTTAAGTAGCTTACCGGTTTCAATGTAGCTTCATCATCATCACATACATGTTTAACGATGATTTGTCAAAATAAATTTCTTAAATAATACTTATTAAAAATGCTTAAGTTATGAAATTGAATCCGATTATACAAGTATTTTTAGCTAAATGGTTACAAATTGGAATTATTAATATCAATAATTATTGTTTGTTTTTGTCATATATTAAGATTGTCTTAACAGTACACAAAATTGAATGATATTGTATCTTTTCTTATTTAATAATAATTATTAATAGTTCAATTATCTAGTTTCATGGCAGTTTATTATTTTCTGGGCTTGCGGTATAATTGGTTTATATTTTTGAGGTATCTTCAAAGATATTCATTAAAAGTCTGATTTCGAAATAAAGTCCATAGCCTTCCTTTATTGTACAATCTTTGTAAACAAAATTATAGTAGGTATTTTAGAAATATCTAAGAATATCGTTTTACAATTGATTTAAAATTTGACAAAGCTTTCAATTTACCTGTAAATGATGTATGTATAACACAAGAGGTTATTCACTAAAACCTTGTTTTGATATTTTTAGTTTAAATAATTTGTTATAATATTCTTCTTCCATGCAAATTAATAGTAATTGAAATACTTATTTGTGGAACTTTTGTATTTCAATACGTGCTCTGCAATACAAAACGAAGTAGTCGTGAGTTTTGTTCTAACATTACTTTGTGGTCTAAAGTAAGTGCTTCTAAAATAAACGTGAGCTTTCTCTTCTAGACATATTTACATACATACTTATACATCTCAAACAGAACAATGCATGCAAGGGCCTTACTCACAATAGATGTCAGGTTCGAAATGCATAAATTACAACAGTTGAAATAACTACTGCAATGACTGTGAAATTACTAAGAAATTGCATATTTCCGTAGCACTTAAAATAAAGTATATTCAGTTATACATATCCTATTTAATAACAAAACTCATATTCTTTGAAATACCACGTTTTAAGTCCTCTTTTTATTATTTTCAGCTCGTGGCAAAAAGAAGAAGAAGATCAAGCAACTCCTACCTCTCCTCCTTCTCTTGAAAGTGAAGTTAGCCGCCCTGGTACCAATTTTCTTAGGAATCATCGCCTTCGTTGCTGTTAAGGCCGTGTTCCTTGGAAAGATTGCATTCGCCATGAACGCTTTTAACCTCATCAGAAAGTTGCTGTCAAAGAATCACTCATCAGGATCCACGATCAGTATCACCCCTCATCATCATGAAGAGCACCCTGGGTACAACTACGAGCCAGCCCAGGGATGGAGTAGGCAAGCAAGCGATGCCCAGTCAATGGCTTATGCTGGTCAATAATAGACTTTGAGTATTACTACATAAGTGTGTATGTTCTGTGTGTGTATAATTTATTAAAGCTGTATGAGTACCTCAGGTTATTTATTAAATTATTATTTAAATAATAAACACAATTTAAATTAAATAATTATTTATTTTATAAACCCTATTACATTATACTAGCTCGAACATTATGGTATAAAAGATAATGATCTAAAATTAATGAGAACTTATTTAGAGGATAGGGTCCAAACTGTAGATATTGACGGTATAAAATCTAAGGGAGCTAATATTGGGATGGGCGTTCCACAAGGGTCAATCTTAGGCCCCTTTCTCTTTTTAATTTACATAAATGACCTTCCCTTTATGGTAGAGAAAATTGCAGATATAGTGCTGTTTGCGGATGATACTTCGTTAGTGTTTACAATTGGACGTCAAACTAATCAATTAGACGATGTAAATTGTGCTATGTCTGCTATATTAAATTGGTTTACATGTAATAACCTATTATTAAATTCCAGCAAAACAAAGTGTATAGAATTTACACTTCCTAATGTAAGACCAATAAATACACAGTTATTGCTTAATGATGAAATAGTAAATTTTGTTAATGATACAGTTTTTTTAGGTATAACAGTGGACTCGAAATTACAATGGGGGCCCCATATTTCAAAATTGGCCAATAGACTCAGTTCAGCTGCATATGCAATTAGAAGAATTAGGCAATTAACAGACGTGGCGACGGCTAAACTTGTATACTTTAGTTATTTCCATAGCATTATGTCATATGGTATACTACTGTGGGGTAAAGCAGCCGATATAAATACTATATTTATTTTACAAAAGAGAGCCATACGTTCTATTTATGGTATGGGTTCAAGAGAGTCATTACGTCAGTGTTTTAAAGATTCAAATATCCTCACCGTTACTTCACAATACATTTATGAGAATATCATGTATACACGGAAGAATTTAGAGAGTTTTAGAAAACTTAAAGACTGTACAAATAGAAACTTACGCAATAAAAATAAGCTAATTTTACCTAAATGCCGCCTGCACAAAGTCAGTAATTCATTCTATGGTAATTGCGTAAGATTTTATAATAAACTGCCAGAATCTGCACTAAATCTGACAGAGAGGCAATTCAAATCTTATATTAAACAATTTTTGTGTAAGAAAGCCTATTACAGGATAGACGAATTCATAGACGACAACATATCAAGTAAATAACTAGTATATTAGCATACAACGTTATAATTTAATTTTCTCATTGCTTTCTTGATTTAATTGATTGATTTTAGAAATATGAAAGCGTAGCGGTTTTTGTATTGATTGCCACATGCATTCTTATGTAAAATGTGAATACTATAACTATCAGATAGCAATTGTAAGTAGCTTTGACGTAGTCTAGTGTTTTGAGTAGTCATGCTCACTAAAATGTCCAGACTTGTGGCGGCGTGGTGGGCCGGGTCATTGGGCTCCCTAAAATATGGTCGAGCGCAGTGATGGCTGGCTCATCCGTCATACTCGTGAACGGGTGCTGCTTGTAGGGACTGGTCTGCTCTAATCACTATGACTGATTTCCTCTAATTAATTGTTTAACCAGTTGGTTATATATTCAATATTATTTCTATTTGAGTATTTAATAGAATTAGTGCTAATTGGTGGTTTGTATTCACACACTTAAACTTAAAAATGTAAAGTAATAATAAAATTATTTAAAAGAGCAACACGCAAGTTTCTTGCTCGTTCTTCTTGTGATGAGACAGCTTTCCGAACGAGCGGTAGATTAAAAAATGTAATGACTATTCAAAAGTGCTTCAATGTAAGTTTATTTGAATAAATGATTTTCTATTCTATTCTATTCTATTCTATTCTATTCTATTCTATTCTATTCTATTCTATTCTATTCTATTCTATTCTATTCTATTCTATTCTATTCTATTCTATTATACAACAGTTTTATTGTCAAAAACTGGTAACAGCAGGTAAACATTATAACATGATTACAGTGTAATGTCTCACGTAACTATTAGCTATTGCTGAGTTGTTACTCTATTGTCTGAATACACTCTCGCTGGTCATTCAGTAATCTGATACTATTATGTTAGAACATAGTAAAACTTAGTAGTAATATTAAACAAAGACTTAACCAAATTTTTTCTTAAAGATGGTTTCGAAAACATATATATATATATATAATTTATATACTTTATGACTCTGCAATGTCCTATAATTATAGGAATGAATAAGTTGTAGGCTGGAAAAGAGTACATATTACAATAATTTTACTTTTAGCATAATTCAGTTAGTAGTTGCACTGAGTATAAAAGAAATTAAAAAGAGGAATTATAAAAATCTACTCAGAACAATTTCCACACTATAATATAATAGCAAGTTACAATATACAATACATAAATACAACATACTAGTTAAAAGTAAATATATATATACTTTAGTTTAGTTATTGAAGTAAATTTAATTATCAATATATAAGTTAGCGTTATTAATATTAATATTGAAATATTTGCAATTAACTCAAAATTTTAACACACTTTTGAATAAGATAGGAATAAATAAATTGTAGCAGAATGCCACCTCCAACTCATCTGCACTACTATCATGATATTTAATATTGAAATTTATATTTACAAAAATTAGGTTGTAAGAAAACTATAACAAACATATCTAAGTTGCCTATAACACTTATCCATGCATTATGTCAATCAATCATTTCAAAACGAGTACAGACGTAACACTTTGTTAGATCAACATTATACGAATGGATGATTACCTCTAACAATTACGAGATATAGCTTACTTTAAACTAAATTCCTATCGATTTGCTAATATTTATTACTATTACATTTATGTATTATTTATAAAATTACTATAAAATTATTAGTTTCGTTATCTTATTAAAAAAACAATTATAGTAAAGTTAACTTCAATTTAACTTTAAATGATTTATCCGTTTAGTATAATATTTCGATTATATAACATTTTAAATAATATTAATTATCACCCAAAACGATTAACATAGCGCCATATAGTACCAAGCTAATTAGATCTTATTATTAAGCTGTTAATAGACCACTTTCAGGAACAGTTTGCATCGTGCGAGAAATCGAACCCGCTGCCATCGGAAGTAAATCGCAAACTAAAAATGTAAACTGCTAGACCATGACGACCATCAAAAGCAGAATAAAATTAAAACGACTTTTTAGTAATTAGGGCAATTAGGTACTATACTGATATATAAAAAAATATAGAGAAGTACTATTATATCATTCACTTCTCTTGGTACGGTGCTTGTGCTTTGTTGAATTTCATTGTCAAAGCCTATATTATTGTCACATTTGTATCATTATACATCAACAGTTGATAAAATCTTACTTTTTACTGCATAAATATTATTAAATATAATATTTATTACACCACATGAAATTAAAAAGTTATCACAATTAAGAACTACTTATCAATAAAACAGATTGATTTTAAATATATATAAAAATATTAAAAATGAATTATTTTATAAAATCTTTATCAGCTATGACATAAACACATCAAAAGAAAAGTAAGAATGATCGTGAAATATCAGAAATTAATATTAATGAACGTATATCTATGCCGGTCACTATGGCATAGCGTCGTCGTGTTTTCTCGTGGCATATATAACTTTGATATGTTAATACAGCAAAACATCGAGTGGGGGGATTTTAAATAAAAAACTGTTACCAATCAAGCGGTCATCACAGTGAATTTGGACTCAGAAGCTTGTGGATCCAAAACAATATGAAGTTCTTTGGATTACTGTTGAGTGTGGTAGCGGTGGTGCAATGTAGCCCAGTAGTTCAAGAAGAATCAGTGTTACGTATGGTGGCGAGTAACTTTGTGAATTGCGTGAATAGTGACCTAAGTTTGTGCTTGAAGGTACGTGGTGCAGTGACTTAAGGATTTTTGTAGTGCCCAGTTGGTGATACAACTACCTACTTCGCAATAAATGTTGACTGCTTCATTGAAAGCGAAATTAAAGATAGCAAAAGTTCATTGACTTGTAGAGCAAATAAAAATGAAATTACTGGATCAGTAGGTCAACGTAGCAAAACGTGCTGAATTGATTAGGTTAATGTAACATGCCGTAATGTTTTGCACGCTGACGTATCTGTTGATTTTTTACGTCTCCGATTATGATCTTGACCTTGCACTTGATGCATTATTTGCGGTCGAGACAGTTATTACATGACTCAAAATTTATTCATGAATTAAGAAATCGAACGCAGTATTCTGTTTGTCATTGTCGACAATTCTGTTTGGTTTTAGATAAATTCTCGTTGCAACTAAAATTATTTTATTCAGATCATTAGATTTGCGCTAGTTTGTGAATCACGATTATGCGTAACTTTATATACAATATTTAAGGTCAATAAATTAATGAATACTTTTGCATCTGTAAAAAATATTATAATTTAAACCTTCTCGGGGAATAAATAAGAGTAAGAGATGTAGAATATAATATTGTATGTACTTCAAAAATTACGTAATGGTAAAAATGCTAATAAATATTCTACAAAGTTTTTTCTGGATCTAGGTAGCACGCTTTGCAGAACGCTTTAGATTTAAAAGAACATAATTGTAATAGTAAAATTACAGAGCATGAAAGCATATGCAGTAACGACCGTGACATTACACATTTTGACATTAATCATACTAGTCATATTAATTTGTGATGCATTTACGTCACGATAAATAGCCTCTTAATTTGTTTCCTATTCAATAACATAAAATACCGCATTAAATTTAATATTCATAGCATAATTTATATATTCTCTAAGATGTTGCTTCTTACACCAAAAATGTTAGCTTGGATCCTCCTTCCTTTAACAGTCAGCTAATTCAAGAAGGCACTGTAATGCTTGGGGCTACTGGAATCAGATAGCTAAGAATAGGAGTAGTAATTTAAGAGTAAGGTATAAATTAAGCTGCATGGAATGAATGACTCAAATTATGGAGAAGATTAATTATAAATTAATAAAATATTTTTAATTGTAATAATTTAGTCAATTATTTATAAACTTATTATAATTAGTTATGATCGTTCATAAATTAATAACATATGTATTGTCACCAGGAAAATGCATTGAAAGCGACTGAGCGTTTGGGGACACTCCGTAAGCTGAAGATCTTCGATGGTGTTACTATTCTCAACAGCAGTCCTAAAGAAGCTAGAAGTCTCGATGTTCTGCCTACTGAGCCATCACTACGTGAACAAGAAATTACTAAAAGACTTTGGGAGAATACAAATGAAATTTTTCAGCAAAGCGAATTGGAATTAAGCTATTCTGGATCTGATGAAGAGGAGGAGTCTAGAGCTGTTCAAGATGGTAAGTAGGACAATGAGATAAAATTAATCGATAACTAAATAATATATAAGAGGATTTTGGTGCCGATATGAAAAAAAAAATGTCTTTAAAAACATACTTTCAAAAAAATTATTAAAAGATTTTATATAAGGCAAAAATCTTTTAATAATATTTTTGCAAAAATGCTTCAATGCGAGTATAATCTTAATTTTGTATATGAATAATAAAATTGAAGTAATAATAGAAAACGCAAACACAAATTTACATGCTAGTCGAAAATAACGAAAACATACAAATAAACATATAACGGACCATAACGTAGATTTATGTATATTTATAAAATAGAAAAGAAATGAACTTTTCCGATTTGAATTAGAAACTTGGCTTAACAGAATCAGGTTTAGATATGTAGGTCAAATTTATAATAGGTGTGGTTTATGGTCAAACATCGATTACTTTAATTATTGTCTTCAATCGTGGGTATATCGATGAATGTTTTGATGTTGTTATGTTTATATTCATGTTTTGATTGCATATGTGTGTCGATATTTTTGGCACAATATTTAACACAAATATTTTAATGCATTGGGCTTTGTAACTATATAAAGTAGGAGTTATCGCAATGGATGAACCATCACCCTAAACAATTATTTATTTAATGTTAGATATAGACATCTATAGAAGTATAAAATCCAATTAAACTACCTTCTATATAAAAATAAATTGAGTTGAGATTCTTGCCAGGTTTTCTCAGTTGAATTTGTATACTTAACTGGACAGTAGGAAAAAATATGTATGTCAACCTTGACTTTTTGCCCTTTGATACCTAATGATTTCTAAATTTAAATCTTCAGAAAATAAAGTAGAAAATTAAAATTACAGAAGTTATGTAACAATCCGCGCGATCACATTATCGATAATATGTAAAGTTCGAAATCAATTTTCGTACCTATGTTAAAGAGTTAGGTAATCGATACAACTATGGCTTGATATAATAGTATGATGTCAGAGTTAGTGGATCATCTAATATCTCAACACTCCTTTCTATCCTTACTGTCTCGCAAATGGGATATAAGCGAAAATGTATCAGTACCAGAGATGGAAATCTTTAAACAAAAATCTATACCGAGTAACTTAAGGCGCTTGGTATTAGTTTCATTATGGGAGCAATCCGTGGCTATAATGCTATGTGATGTAATGATGAAGATCATGATGATAATATTAAATTGTATTTTTATCTTTACAGTCGAAGAGGGCCGTGGTAAGAAAAAACAAATCAAAAAGAAGTTGAAACTGTTAATTCCCTTGTTAGTGCTTGCAAAAATAAAGGCTGCAGCTGTCGTCGTATTGTCCATTGTGGTCATAGCTGCTTCGCTTTACAAATTGGCGCTCATGGCTAAGATCGCTTTTATCTTCAAAGCCATCGCTATCCTCAAAGCACTTCTTCACAAGAAACACCATGAAGAAGAACACGGCTGGGTACCCCATGTGGAGGAGCATCACGGTCATGAAGGTTGGGAAGGTGGTTGGTCGCGCTCCAAGAATGATGGCTCCAGTCTGGCATATTCCCATTATCAACAGTAATTTAACCAAAAACTTATATGCCGCATTCATATGAGGACGCTTCAATCTTGATCGTTTGACAACTTAACCTAATTATTTATTGAATTATTTTTTTCGTAATCCAAGCGATTTATGTTTTTATTTTCTACAATTTCCAGACAGCAATCAGTTACTTTTTGATTCTATATTTTTACAAAAATTTTATTAAAATTATCTCTACAGATTTGTAACAAAAATGTCCTGTCTTAGGATGAGTTAATAAAGATCATGATATCGATTGCGATATATGAATATAATTAAATTTAGGATATTGCATTTACTGCGTGGAATGAAACGTCTTTGGATGAATACGACAGTGCCCCATAAAATTACCTGAATAATTTCACAATATTTTTGGTATATGTGTGTTGAGTGATTGGGTTTCGTCTATTTTTATATTTCCTTTTCTTTTCGGCCATTTTGCTTTTTATTTATTATCATAAAAAAATAAGTCAATTTGACCGAAAAGGAGATACTTATCAGAAGGTAATATTAGTTGAGTTAATAAATTGTATGTATGACTTTACGCCTATACATTTGTATATATTATTTATTATAAAAAAAGACAATATTTAATATGACAAAGTAAGGCTAAACTTATTTATGTGAAACTTATGTTTGAAGTATTTATGTGAAATAATATTTAAGTTGTGTCATTTATATTGTGTTCAATGCCAAATTAGTATTTTAAATATTTATAATTATTTATTTATTCTATAACATTATTATAAGTGTTATTAATTTATATAATTTGATTTGTAGACTGATCTCTAATATATATTCGTATATGTCAGTGCCTATAAACTTTTTTTTTTTTATAACAATATAGTCAGTATCGTGTATCACGAAATATTAGCATGTACTGTCCAATGTGTAAATGTGTGTGTGATTGAAATTATTTATTTCTAGTATTATGAGTTTTAAGTTATTTATTATTGTATAAATAAGTTAATAAACCAAACAGCATTTAATGGCAAATTGTGCTATCGTTTATTTTATTTACAATTAAACCACAATGCGTTTTATTGTGTTATTTAATTTATTTATAACTAACTGTGCCAGCGTCTTCATCCGTGTAGAATGGTGTACTTTGACCAAATAAAGAATATTTATTAATCTAACCCAAAAAATTCAAACTAAAAAGTAGTAACATTCCCATTTATACTGCGCGTTTGTTCTTGTTTTCAATAATCGAGTTTATATTATTCATTTAATCATAGAAGTAAATGTTAAATTAATTCTATGAGAAACTGGGTTTCTAGGAATTATGTCTGAGGAATTATTTAGGATATATATTTAGTGTCTGGTTATAATAAATTTTGAAATTAGAATTTAAATCTAATATTAATAGAACAAATATTATTTGAGTTAGCCAGTAGGTAATCTTAAACCAAAACGTGACTTAATAAAGAGAGATTGTGATGAAGACACTCAAATTTCATAGAAAAAAACATACTGGAAATACAATCCTTTTTATCCGCATCGCAATAGCGTTGTAAAGGTATTCTTGCAGATGTAGATCCAAAGACTTACCAAACAGAGAAACCTTCATGAAAATTTATTATCACGACAATCACAGATTATTCAAAATATAGAAGAATAGCATCGATCTACTTCTAGAATTATAAATTATCATCTTTCATTAGAGGAATCTCCTAATAAATCTACCTCTAAAGTTTATCTTTGACGACGTTCTACAGCTAAGAGAGACTTACTAAAAGAGGAACATAAATAAGAGTTTATTATGGCAACCATCAAACATTATTTAATCTTTAGTTAATAACAGGAGAATAGCTTCTTAATTATTAGCTCTTCTTTCCTAAAGGTTTCTTATCTTTTATAATCTTTATCTATGATAAGACAACTTTTTTCCAATACTCAGTATTCAAAAATATAAAGACTAGACATGGTTAAAGAAATATTTAATTAGAGATTTTATTGATATCTGTTCTTACAAACATTGAATTAAATGATGCTTTATAACTTTACGACAATAAGAAATCTATACATATAATACAAAAGTAAGTGATTGTTATCTGTACATATTCTAATAACATTATATCCAAATAATTTATACTTAGAAATATAAATTATCTTTCCTCTTTCTTTTAGGTTTCCTATCTTTGACCAGGTTCTGCGGCTAATGAAATATTTTAGAAAACGATACATGTTATTGCTCATTTTATACTAACTGTTTCTGTAACTCTGTGTATGTGGTATTCTGAATATCAATATCTCATAACATTTTGTTTGTGAATAGATTGGAATTAAACTAAGATTTAATATTACAGGAGGCTTATTAAAATTTACCACGGAAAAACAAATACAAATCTGTTCCGCTGTTTCTAAGATTAGTATTCACAAACGCAGACAAACAGTCAGGAATCCTAAAAACTATTTTATGATAATGCTAACATAATAAAGCGTATAAATTATTCTTTGAAGAACATTTTAATGTATGATATGACGTTCACGTACTTCATTAAGGATAGTAGTGCTTATTATACTATTTTTTTTAAATTTATTCGTATTATAATTAGGACAAAATTAAATTAAAAAAAGTAAACTAGAGAATTTCTCAGTAGGAGTTAAGGAATTCTTCGATAAAATATGGTTGTCTGCGAAACTCTTTTAAGTTCCATATTTCACGCCTTTCTTATATCTATGTAATTATACAAAAAATCCTTCTATATTCTTCTAACGCCTGTCCAAACGGATAAGGCAATACTTTCTTTCTACGCTATTATCTATACGCGCAATAGCTTTCACTACACGAAGACTGTAACTTTCTTTCTGTTAAAAGTTATTCTATGCGATTTAACGGAACAGATGTTGTAGGCGTTACAGAGGATCGTAGTTATAATTATCAATAAATACACAAAAATAATATTCAGTAAATTACCAGTTATGCTAATTTTATACGAATTTATGCTTACTTATTTATTTTATTTCATGACTTTAAAATTCTATTTTATTTACCATGCCACGAATAATACAAACAATAATCATTAATTTATTCCCGCTGCATAATACTGAATAAAATTTTTATGTTGGTATGTAATTTTTATTGCATGAAATATTTATAAAAATAAGAAAATAAAATATGGTTAGAATCCGCAGTGTAAATAAATACTATACAAATTATAAAAATAATATATATTAGTTCTTTCTAGCGTATCAAATATATTTTTAGATTTTCCACGATTTAAAGAGAAAAGGTCAACGAAAGAAACGAAACGAAAAGTCAACATTATTATTAAACTACAAAAATAATCAAACAATATAATTAATTATATTAAATTTTTAATAAAATATTTTAAACGACAAAACAATTATCAAGCAAAATTGACCAGTCTCGTACCCAGCCCAAAGGTTCCGCGCAAAACTGCTAGAGAAATGACTTTTTCAAAATTCTTTTGCAAAGAATTTTCTTAGTTTTATTTACTATATTTGTACGTATTTCTCAAAACATGTACGTATTTCCTACCATATAAATAGAATTTATTTATATTTAAGAAGTAGACGCTAATTTTAAAGCAGAAATAAGTGTTTGTCAGATGTTTCACAGATCATTATTCCGTGCGTGTAAATCACATGTTAGCTACTTTGCGTGTTGTACGTTATTATTGGTAGGTGTTTCTAATGCGTACTCACAATTTATTTAACGTTTAATTAACGTTCTTAAGATCAGCCGATCTACTCTGTAAAATTATTTCCGATTCAAACACAGTATACTGCACCATTTTTTACGGTATTATTCTCTTCTATTATACAAAGGCAACATATTAATATTATATTTTGCGTTCAATGAGAGAACTAATTAACATTGTTACCTGTTTAGACTTGATTACGTTTTAAAAGAAAGAATATATTGAGTTCAATTCGGTATAGAGATTGATATTAAATAAGCATCTGGACATAATATCTTGTAAAAACATCTTGTTATAATCATTTTCCATTTTGATATAATTATAAGGTCCAGTATATTGGTTTTAAATTAAGATATAAGTTGAATTTGTTATAGTCGTATTATATGTAATTACGAGGTAATTGTAAATTGGTGTATCCACGTTCAGTAAAGAAGGGATCTATATATATATTAGTGCTGGTGTCTGTCCGACGTATCAATCTGATCTCAGAAACCGATAATAATACGAATATAAACACAAGCAACATATTAATATTATGCTTAGCGTTAAATGAGTAAACTAATTAACATTGTTATAGAATTATTCTGTTTAGACTTGATTACAGTTTAAAAGAATGAATAGATTGAGTTCAATTCGGTATAGAGATTAATATCAAATAAGCATCTGGACATTATATCTTGTAAAAACATCTTGTTACAATCATTTTTCATTTTGATGTAATTTTAAGGTTAAAAGTTTTTATAGAGTAAAATATGATATAAGGAAGTTATTACAGTCGTGTTATAATTACAAGGTTATTGTAATTTGGTGTATCCACGTTAAGTAGAGAAGAGATATCCATCTGATCTCAGAAACTCATAAATATACAAATATAATACACATATTATATGTTGAAGGACAAACTCATATATAATAATATTAATAAGATAATAATAATTCTAAACAATTTATGTACACAGCGCCATTCTAATTCCGTTCCAAGCTAAGCAGAGCTTGTGTTATGGGTACTAGACGACAGATTTAAATACATACATAATATATATAGAAAACACATAGACCGATACAACAATTATACTCATGAATATCATAAGGGTTGTACCGTGTGACGAATCGAATCCGCGACTATTATAAGTAAGGCGGTATGTTACATATGAGTACAATAATATACTTAATAACACAATGTATATCTGCAGAATAGAGTAGGGTTGATCGTCACTTACATACGTATACCCAGAGGCAAGCTTTCTTGACTTGATAACCGGATCTAACCGGATCCGCCAGCCGATTCGTAGCGGAAGGTGTGTGTGATAAGAAAATGTTCTGACCCATTCC